CCCTAGGCCAAGTGAATAATTATGCAAACCCCCCCCCCCTAAATTTTGTATTTATAATCTCGAATTTAAAAAATGTTAATTTATTTTTTTTTTAAACACAATCTCTTAATACAGTTTTTTTTACAATCTGTGAACCACATTATATTTTTAATTCAAATCTTCACTACTACACTACTAGTGTACAACATTCGATAGCATGGCTTTTTTTTCTCTCAAAAGAAGACTGAAACATTGGTCAATATTTTGTTGTTATTCCTTCTGTATACACACACCCTGACTGCTGCGTGCCATAGCCTTAGGATGACCCAATGGGACATCTGGTCATGGTGATATCATTGAAAGAAAACAACTGTTGGCACACACAAAGTGATCGGCCCGAGTACACATTTATAGCACACAGTTTAGTTCACAATTATTTTATATTAAAATGGGTGAGATTTTGTTTATTTCCAACATTTCACTGGTTCATTACACAATTTGAACAACATAACAGGTAGTCTAATGACTCACACAATGATGGTAAATAGCAGGACAACTATTGAATTAGCCAGACTCACCTATCATATAAAATATATTAAATATAAGAACAATTTTTTTTTTAAATTTTGTTAATTTTAGCTATCATATAAATATATATTGAACATAAGCACAACTATTGAATTAGCCTAAATTTGCTATATGAGAAGTTACCTCAGTCCGACAAACGTTCAACTTTCCCATGTTAATGCTAAAATTTAACGTCATGAAAAAATTTGATCTCAGAATCAGGGTTAGTTTTGTTTTTCTCTTTTTTGTTAAAACTTTAATTAATTCCATTTTCTCTAGTGATATTGAAATATAATGTTACCTTATTTTATAAATAAGTTATGTCTGTTCCATATAATAAAACTATTCCAATATATCTTATTTCCCCTCCCCCCAAACACAATGATTCAAACTACACACCCCTAACCCTAACACATTACACACTCCCAACCCTGTAGTCACGGTTAACAAACATAAAATGAAAAGAACCATTTGTTTACCTATCAAACCTACACAGTATTAAATTAGCAATGTTTTGGCGAAAACAAGTT